CTCAGGCCACACCAACACAGTATCCAGCGTAGTCCCTCTCTATTTGGCGCCCCGCACTAAGCCTACACTACTTGCCTATACTTCTACATCCGGATTCACATGAAAGGCTCACTTCGATTTTGAAGACCAATATACATGACGTTAATACCCTAGTCGACCGTTCACATACACAGGTACGTATCTCTTTCTTTCTTTCTCTTTATTTTCTTTCTTTGTCGCACTCTCCATGTATGTGTCTTTCTTTGTGTGTCACTGCGTATGTGTCACTGTGTGACTGTATAGGTGTCACTGTAATTGGGTCACCGTACATCCGTGTGACACCGTGCAATGTATATATGTCATAGTTTCACTATGTCTGTGTCATTGTGTGCCAGCGCCACTTGTGTATCTATGTCACTGTGTATGTGTAACTGTGACTATGTCACTGTTCATCTGTGTGAGTCAGAGTATCTGTCTGTGTCACAGCATCTGTGTATGTGTGTCACAATATCTGTTTGTGTTTGTCACGGTGTTTGTGTGTGTCATTATGTATGTCACATTGGTTGTGTGCCTGTTTTCACTGTGTTAGTGCGTAACTGCGCCGCTATGTATTCGGTGTCATCGTGCACTGTGTGACTATGTATCTGTGTGGTTTACTATATGTGTGACAGTGTCACTGTCTGTTTCACTATATCTGTGTGTATCGCAGTGTCACTGTCTATTCCACTGTGACTGTGTGTGTCATAGAGTCTGTATCTATTCCACTGTGGGTTGCGGTGTACCACCGTGTATCTGTGTATTCACCGTGTATGTGTATGTGTGTCATTGTTTCTCTCTGTGTGTGTATTTGTGTGTGTCACTTTGTCACTGACTATGTGATTGTGTTTCTGTGTTTCTGTGTGTAAGTGTCACTGTGTGTGTATCACTGTGTTTATGTGTTCACTGTGTATCTGTGTATCACTGCACACTGTGTGTAACTGTGTCTGTCACCATGACTGTGTGTTTCACTGTGTCTTCTCTGTGTGTCTCTCTGTGTTTTCAATGTGTGTGTCTCTGTGTCTGTGTCATCGCGTGTGTGTCTGTCTGTGTACACGCAGCTGTCTCTGTGTGAGTACAGGATATCCGGGGAGATCCAGAGTTCCGTGCGTGTGAACAAACTGCTGGGAATACAGTTGTTCGAGACAAGTCTGAATCTGGACCGTGTTCGTGGCTCCGTTATCTCATAGCTTTGTGTGGGTGTACGGGCGTTAGTGTGATTGTCATCTGTTTGTATGCCTGCTGGATGTCAAAGAAGACAAATCTAATTGCAATAATAATAATAATAATAATAATAATAATAATAATAATAATAATAATAATAATAATAATAATAATAATAATAATTGCTAGGAATATGAGTGTGAATGACATACAGAAAACCAAGTTGTGAAATCACACAGATGTCTAAGTAGTCGTGTACAAGCACAGAACGCAAGAGCACCTAGAATTCACCCAAATAGAGCAATGCAATGAAGTAATGAGTCAATGTTTAAGCCCGTAGGCCACACCAACACAATATCCAAAGTCGCTCCTCTCTGTCCGACACCCAGAGCCCAGCGCCCAACCTACTCTACTCTACTATCCTATCTACAGTTGTGTTCAAGCAACAACCTCACTTCGACTCTCGAAGACCAATGTACATGACTGTCAACACCATTAGCTGACCTCTTTTCATGTACCAGGTACGTATCTCGTCACCCTCAATCAGACCTTGACAACCCCACTCTCGCCTCCTTCACCAGATCACCAGTCTACCCCCCCCTAACATTTCAACCCCTACACATTATAGCTAGGATTAGAATACAACAGTAATAGTAGTAATATAATAATAATAATAATAATAATAGTAATAATAATAATAATAATAAAGCAAGAAAAATAAGTGATAGCGAACTTTAAAACCCAAGCAGCGTCATACGCATGAGACCAGATAGTCGTGACCTCAAACCAAAAGCAGAATTGCATCACAAGTCCCACTAAATAAGAGCACAACAAAAACTCATAATTGACAATGCTGAAACAGTCTCATCATCATCAACGAAGAACTAATGTTGATATCCTATCTGGCGCTCGATGCCCAGACTTACAAATTGCAGATCTTATCTAGCCTAGACTACAAGTACGAGCAGATCTCGGTCAATGCCGCACACGTCAAGCTCCACGTATGTCTCTCGTATCACTCACAACCTCGTTCCCCAACTCACAGATGCCACTCGCACCCAAGGATCACCATGCACTCCTCTCCTTCCGTTTTTTTCCCTCTCTATCTTCTTCCTCTCTCTCTCTCACACACACACATACACACACACACATACTTGGCAATCTCGTGGGTGAGCGAGATTGAAGGCGCGTCAGCAGGCGAGTGCAAAGTGGCGGTGCATATTTCCAAGTTGCAGCGGGAGATTCATTCGGTTTTGCTTCTCCTATCGATGGAAGTAGCGAGAGGCTCGCTGCGTGATTCAACACTTCACGCACACACACATATACACATACCTTCACCCGCACACATACTCGCACACATTTACACACACACACACACATAGCAATAGTGTAGACTTCCCATGTTCTAGTGATAGGTTCATTGGTCTTTGTTCACTCTATCGGTCGAAGTACCTGGTGCCTATTGCGTGATAGAAGACTTACCTGATCTCTCTTTTGTCATCGTCGTCGTCACCGTCCCTGTCGTTGTCAGTTGGTTGCCTTCCGCTGCGCAGCAATGTGCAGCATTCCGTGACCATCACACGGAGCTCGACCGGCACAAGCCTGCGTTCCAACATGTCGGTCGGGTGATGGGTAAGTCAAATTTCCCTTGCCTCTCTCCTTCTTCTAATTATTATTATTTTTCTTCTTCTTCTTCTCTCCTTCCTCTTCTTCTTTTTTTCCCTTCTACTTCTTTTTCTTCTTCTCCCTTTTACTTCTTCTTCTTTTCCTTTCTACTTCTTCTCCTTCCCCCACTATGTCGCTATTCTCCCAGTTGCCATCACATGTGGTCGCACACCGTCTTTTTGCATTCACCACATGGCCATCTCCTTCTTGCTCTGCTTTTGCGTGCTCCGCTTCCCTTGCGATCCACGCACCATGCTATCTTCTTCTTACCCGTTTGCGCTACCTCCCCGAGCTCGTCTTCTATCGTGCGGCCATCCTTTTCCTCTGCACTTTCAACCCCCCTCCTCTCGATCTTTTGAATCCCCACGCTCTATCTCGCCATCTTCTCTGCTTGCATGCGCAACCCCGTCTTCTTCTGCGCGATGCCTTCCTCCTCGTTTCCACGTTCGATCCCATTTTCACATTGCGCCATTTTCTTCTCACCCGTTCTACCCGTACTCGTGTTCGCTTGCGTGTCTCCGCCACTTCGCCGCTTGCACTCGCGCTCCTTCTCTCCTTGCCCTGTGCTAGTCATATCGTTGTCTCACCCGCTTTCTTTCTCCTACCTCTTTCTCTCTCTGTGCGCCCCACCTCACTCTTGTCCTCCTACTTCTTCTTCTTCTTCTTCTTCTTCTTCTTCTTCTTCTTCTTCTTCTTCTTCTTCTTCTTCCCCCGCGCACCTCCTCCTCCTGCGCGGCCACCTCCTCTATCGCTTGCGTGCGATACCTCCTCATGTGCACTTCTTCCTGCCTTTCCCCGACGAGCTTCTCCTGCTTCTCGCTGCGCCCTGCAGCTTCGTGAGTCTTCACGACGCGCTGCCAGTCTTTCGTGACTTCGGCCAGATCCTTGCCACACTACTGAAACGAATTTGCCCTGGTTTCAGAGGTAGATTCCTAAAAGTGATTCCATAAAGAGCATTCACGGGAAAATAAGAATAAAAGAAAGAAAATAATGAAATCAAGAGAAACGAATCTAACTAATAAAAACAAAAAGAAAATAAAAGAAAAATAAAAGAAATCTCACTACTAACCACCCCGTCGTGCCAATTGGCACAACGGGGTCTAACTGTAACCAATTCCAATCTTAGGGTCACAGGTTCGAGCCCCGGCCGTCCGAAATCGGGTAAACAAAAGTAGAGCTCTCTTTTCAAAAGGAAGCTACCTCGAAGGGCGATAGGCTTCGATCCCTGTGTCTCCCGCTTATCAGTCTGCACCTAAACCTACCAAGCTAGCTCCCACTTCAGAAAGAAGGGGAGCAACTTCAGTATACATACGATAGTGGGGCCTAGCCCAACTAGTGGACCGAACCCATTTTTGAGTCCGTACGTGTGTATGCTGGCTTGTCTGCGTGTCCGGCTGAGTGCTTGTCGGCTTGAGTGTGTGTGTGACCCGCAAGGGCACTTGGTTGATCGAAAGGCCTGGGCCGGTACTTACCTGTAGTCGTGACATTGAGGGTTATAACGGGAAAATTATCAAGTAGCGGGGTAGGCCCGCATACTCAGAACAACGGGGAAAGCACTCAAGCAGCAAGTATGTCGGTACCACACGAAGTAGAGGTAGATGCACCAGGTACCCGGGGTCGAGCATAAGAAGACAAAATTGGCACTTTTAACCACCCAGTATTGGTAGATAGGCGGTGATCAGTTCAAACAGCCTAAGTCTAATGCCCATGCAAGCGATATTCAGGGTCCGTAATAATGTTTCCCTCCAAAAGGGAGGAGATACTGGTTGCCTGTGTGGTCGAGTAACTAAGAAATCTCCGCCCAAGAGGGAAATGTCCCACTTCACATGGGAGGTCGAGCTCGAGCCTCACCCTCACTTGCGGTTTACGAGTAAGGGCGGAAGGTACCGCTCGAGAAAGTGCTAACAATCTGGGCGCTACGGCAACCTGATGATCACACAGTTTTAATTGCTCTGGTTGTACGACCGGGGCGTATATTAATTTATCTTGACTATCGTACCGACAATTAAGTCTCAGCGCGTGTCGTAGACCTACCTGACACAACACTAACCCAATCGACCCCCTCGACGTCTTTGGTCGAAGGGTATTACTACTGACCCTAACCATCAGAGCGCGCGTCTCAATAACGCGAGCGCATGCTTAATGAAGTTTTCTCACCGATTTGCCCTGACCTTAATGGTCGAGGAAATCGTTACAACGTGTCATGCAAAAAACGCACGCGCCTTGACTTTCAGACCGACCCCGTTTTGGTAGTCGATGTCGTCGCTGTGTCGATCGCAAAAGCATGGCCAAATACCCTTGTAAGGGTATTCGGTCCGACAGCGTCGTGTTTCACTGGGCGGAGCCGGCCCCAGAAGCTGAAGGGGGTGAGGTCAAGGACGACGAGGTGAAACTGTTGATCGTGCAGGCTTGGCGGACGAGTACGGAGGAAAAATTGTTGAGAATATTATTCGGCAAGCTGGAAGAAGACCATCTCGACGCAATCACGGACGAGTTGTTGGTGCTTTTGGCGCAGCTGGTAGACAATTTACCCCTCCACATCCTGTCAAGGTGTGACGAGAAGTCGGGGATAGACGTGCCCACTCGCACGCTTGCGCCGCATCTGATGTGGTCCACATATACGGAGCTAGACGGGGATAACTGCTTTTACCCATCCCCGAGCCTCTATTTCGAAATTGACGTCACTGATCTCACATTGTGGGACCCTTTTGTCCGTCGAGGAAACGCGCTAGGAGCCAGTAACGACGACGACGACGACGACGACGACGAAGAAGAAGAAGAAGAAGAAGAAGAAGAGTCAGAGGAAGAAGAATCGGGCACTGATCGAGACGATCCCGACTACATTGGGTCAGAGGAGGAGGGAGAGGAAAGTGGATCGGGATAGTCGATGTCGGTGCGAATACCCTTACAAGGGTATCCGCCCTGATTTTTGCAAGCGACAGAAAATAAGTTGGTTTAAAGTCTAAGTATTTTGCGCAAGGCGCAACTGCGTCTATCATTTATGTTGACTAGATGGTCGACGAGAGCGGAGAGTGTGTGGGCGCGCAGGCTTGAGGAGCACGTGATTTTTATCTGTTGATGATTGAAGGACCGGTGTGATCGCCGGCCGGATTTTTATTTTTTGATTAAGTTAGGATAAAAAGGATTCTGTTTTCTGATTGGTGTGTTTGCCTATGACTTATGCGTACGTACGGAGGACGGCATCGACAAGAATGTGAATCTGAACATGTATCGGTAGGTCTGCCCGTCGTGCAATATCTGTTTATTTAGGCGTCTGTCAATACTAAATCCAGCCTTGGGCTTAGCACTCGTGGTTACGACGTTAGATTTTCGTCAAAGAGATTTAAGGATCGAGGTCGAGCGGCGACGACGCGGGGAGATCAGATTTCTGAACGGATTTGAGCGAGGAAAAGTGCTATATGGGGTTTTTGACGGCGGGCGACGCCAAATCCGAGGTCAGATTGGGCAAAGAGTGAGTAAGGAGGGAGCGAAGAGGAGAATGAGCTGCGCGGGAAATGGCGGAAGGAGATGTGGAAAGGAAACAAGAGTTGAGGACCTCGCTCGTCTCTTTACGAGATCAAGCGGGGAACGGGACGAGTTTGGGGTTTTGACATAGGGCGAGTTAGATGACGGGGTTAGATTTTGCCATAGGTTGGTGAGTTAATCCGTATATGCGAATGGGATTGCGCGGTGATGTCGGGAAGGAAGGAAGATTGAAGGAGTAAACAAGTAAAAAACAAGTGTGACCCTCAAGTCTTTACAAAATCAAACAAGAGGTGATTTGGAATAGAGGAATTCAGATGAGGTGATTCCGTTGGTCAGCTCGGATTTTGAGTTGGATCAGTAGTTCTCGCGCTACGGGCAGTACTAGCGGCGCGCAAGGGAGGTATGGCGATGTGTTGATGCATCTGTCCATGCACTACGGAAAGATTCATTCCGGTTTGGCTCATCCAACCAACGGGAGTTGCAGGAGGTGAGTAGCGAGGTTGGAGATCCATTGAGCGACCGGTGTGTTGCTCTTCGTACCGACAGAATACTCTCTCTTTCTCCTTCTCACACCTACACACACTCCCGCAAAGTAGTGTATAATTCAGACTTTGAGCGACAGATATATCTGATCTCCACTCGTTTTGGTGGTAGGGGGAGTGCGAGGCCAGCAATGGAATTGGTGACTTACCTGTTAGCCAGAGTGTGGCTCATGCCGATACGTGGGTAGCAAGAAGGCGAGAGGCGAGGTTGAAGGCTTACTCGCGGGTGGCTAAGCAACGTTCCCCATCGATTGCGATAACAAGAAAAAGGGAGGGTCAGAGAATTGCATACGTGCTGGCATGCCGTGAACCGCTAACCTTTAGAGTTGTGAAGCGTGGGGGTGAGCTACAAGAGTGTGAACCCACCTACTAATCAATACATCGCACACCCGATCAGTCGCAGTGGAATGAGGCCTACCACGAGCTTGAGGGGTTGGCTGCTTAGTTGAACAAGGGAGGGAGAAGTGAGTCATAGAATTGACCATTTGATTAACAGTGTCGTACGCGGCCTGCCCCGTCTGAAAGAGGGAGTGAGGGAGCAGTCGCAGGCCCGAAGATCTTCCGGTGACCCTGGCACTTCGAGTCAGAGACTTGCGGTAAAAACAGAGTGCACGGGGGCACCTCTGTTTTGCTGGGCTACTGTTTGTTGAGCTACGGTTTATCGAGTTCTTGCCACTATAACAGTGCGAAATGCCATTTGCTGCACTGTACGTTGGTTGCACATGTGCGATATCTTTCCTGTCAGGCGCCCAACTTAAACATAAACTTCTTGTGGTACAGGGGGCCGTTACCGCAACTAGGAGGCGTGGTTGAGCTCATTGAAGGGTCACTGTTACGATTGTGGAGAGGGTGTAAGGCACGATCGAATACGTATCTGACTGATGTGAGCTGCTACCTCGACCAAGTGGTAGAAACAGTAGGCCAGTTATGGAGCCTGCAGGCTTATTTGCTGGTCGGTGCGATGATCAGGCTTATTAAAGGGAAAACGCGGAGAATAAACGGCGAGGTTTAAAAATTCATTTGGTGGGGTTGCGGAGTCTCCTTTTGACTGGCGGCCTACACATGTGTGGCTGGTTAGACCGCGTGGTTGGTTCACTCCGGACGGAGGGAGAGCTGCGTATTGAAATAAAAAACTGTGTCTTGAACTGCGGCCTGTGCAATTTTGGGTCTCGAGGCCCCGCGGATTGACTGAGTCTGTAAAGAGGGGTCGCTGTTCTGATCAAAAGAGTCGACGGGAAATCTACAACTAGTGGTAGGCATCATCTGGCCGAGTCGTAGCAACTCGCTTGGCTGCCATTGCGGGGCCCTCAGGAGCATCAAGAAACCAAGGCCCTCTCTCGCGAGTCTGAGTGCACCCTCCTTCGGTCTGAGAGTCTCAAACCTATCTCCTCCTGGTTTTCTAACTCTCATTCTAGTCCTTGGTTACGAGAGGAAGGTGGCAGGCGGGATTGCAACCCGTAGGACCACATCAAGACTATGTGGGGAGTCCACCCACCGATTGCGGGAGCTCTGTCGGAACCTAGGCGAGTTCTGGAGGCAGGGAATTGACAGGTATACCTTTTTTCTATCTTTATCACTCTGCTATACCCATGTTTGCTTATCTCCCTTTAGTTTGACTAATGTATGCATGAGATTGTCTCTATGACTTTACTTTCTTTCATAACTTAATCAGACTGAATGAAAGGAATGTATGAGAGTGAAGTTTAAGTTTCATTTTTATTTTTGACTGAAAGCAGGCTAAGGGATGAACTGGGGGAAGGTGGGAGGAAGGCAGACTGCATGTGTTTGACCGAGTCAACCAAAGACTGGGCATTGTTTCGAAGCTGAATGGCCCAGGGTTGTGTTTGTTTGGCTGTTTTCTGAAGGGTCAGGTATTGTTTCGAAGGTGAATGACCTGGTTGCTATGTTTATTTTCTGAGAGTTTGCCTAATGTGAAGGGTTTATTGTTTATTTCATTCTGAAGGAGGATTTCTGATCTAAGGCTGAACATTGTTTCTAAGTTAAATGGTTTAGCCTAAAAACCACACATATAAGTATAAACTGAGTATAAAATAAAGTATTTTACTTATATTTGCATGTGAACTAGCAGTTGGGCTAGCGCTAAGCCATATCACTAAGAAGAGAAGGAAAATTACAGAGTATAATTGAAAATAGTATGGGCAAGCTGAACATTGTTTCCAAGCCGAATGGTTCAGTCCCCTGCTCATATTTGCTTTTCTTTTGAGAACAAAGTCAGAAAGTTATTAAATTTTGGATATTAAACAGTTCAGGGCGGTTAGGCATTGTTTCCAAACCAAATGATTTAGCCAAATGCCCAAAGAAGAGAGAAGTAGTAGTGCAACCTGTTCGTGTATATCTTAAGGCATGTTGGACATTGTTTCCAAACCGAATGGTCTAGCACTACGCCATATGTAAGTTGGGTATAAGGGTTAAATCATCTAAATGATTCATGAACTATCTATGTAAAATCATTTGAGGTTCGTGAGAGTACTTACCTTTATGGTTTGGCCTGCATGTGACTGATTGCGACTGCTACTTAGTCTAAGTTTTAGTTGGACAGGTAGTTGCTTTAGTTGCTCGTCATGTGTTAGAGTCATAGGAGTTAGTTTCAATTTCTGCATTTTCTGGGCTAACTTTATTTTTACTTAGGTCGATTTCTGCATTTTCTGGGATCATTTATTATACTTGGCCTTGTATAAATTTTGGTAAGTCACTTTTTCTACGGGAAGCGTTGCCGAAATTTCTACAAAACCAAGGAGTTAGTTAGATTTTGTCTTTCAAAGTTCAACTTGTCTAACTTTTATGACTTAGTAAAAAATCTGAAGAGTCTCCTATTCTGAAGGGAGTGTTGTCCAATTTTTTGCTAATTCAGGGAGTTAAACAAAAATTGGACCTTGAGAGGTCAAAATCATTTTAGATTATGGAATTAGCCTTGTATAAATCTTGGAATAACACTTTCTCTACGGGAAGCGCTGCCAAAATTTCTACAAATCTAAGAAGTTAGTTAAATTTTGTCTTAGTTGAACTTATGTCTCGATTCTGAGTTCATATCTGACTTAGTACAAATCTGAAAAGTCTACCTTTCTAAAGGAAGTGCTGCCCAAATTTTTACTAATTCAGGGAGTTAGATAAATTTTGACTTTCCAGAGTTAGGGATTATTTTTACTTTCATATTTGGGTTATTAAAAATTATGCAACGGCACTTTCCCTACGGAAAGCGCCGCTGAAATATTCTTAGTTTAGATGAGTTAAATTGTATTTTGACGGGTGACAATTCTGGCAGTGCATTCTGCCTAGAGGAGATTCTGTCAAAGATCTACCTTTTCATTAGGCGCTGACTTAGGGGTAGACTCAGGATTAGTTAAATAAAATGATTCTTGATGAAATCATGATATTTTGATTTGGACTCAGAGATTTAGCTTGGGATTGGTCTGTCTTGTGTTACAGGTCCTCTTGAACATTTGATTTGAAATTATGACGAAATTCAACTTGATCTTACAAGGGTCACCTTCTGTTATCACTGATAATAGGTCGGTTGCCGATTCGTCGGTATACGGCTCAACTCTCATTCATCCCCAATACTCTACCTAAAAGGCTTTAGCACTGGTGATTTTATTGTTTTATTAAGGTTTCACCTTGACTTTTATTGAATGGCTATTTAACAAAGGTACCGAGTATTTAATTATGGTTGGCTAGACAGAGGCTGGGGCTTGCATGGCTAAAACGAGGGGTATGAGTATAGAGGTTGGTTGGAGTTGACTCCGTGTAGTGTGTGGACTTTTGTTTGACTTTTTAATGTGATTGCAGGTATGTATTGTGGTTCGAATTTGGATTTGACTACCTGCGATCGCAAACATATATATGGTTGTGAGGAGTCTCATTGTCATTGTGAAAAGTGATCATCACATACTTATTCTCCTTTACATATATATATATA